GACACACACACACACACACACACACACTCGCAGGAAAGTGGGAATGAAACAGATATTTCTTTCTCTTCCATGATTGCTCAGGCTCGCCCATCTCATTCCTCCCTCTCATTCTGTCCCAGATTGTTTCTCCTCAGAGAGACAGAGATTGAAATACAACAAGGCGACAGAAACCCTGCTCATCGTGTTCCAAGTATCGCAGGTGCACATGTGTGTGTGTTGCATCTCTGACCTGTTACATAACGTGGGTAGAGTTAAGTGAGCCGAGTACGTTAAAAAAAAAGGACAAGTGTTTTATGTGTTTATTTAGTTGTTTGCCTCTCCAGCGACAGGTTTCTGAGGTCCATGAATTCCATTCTGACTGAAATATCGCAACGACTACGTGCCAAAACATTATCCGCAGTCATTCGTGGTCCCCTGTGGATTAAGTTTATGACACTGATGATCCCGAGCATTAACATGAGGTTGAAATTTGTGGTGGTGACAGAATTTGGCACATATGCACATGACATCTCTGGATGAATTGTAATTGGACTGAATTTTAAAATCTTTCGCTTTTTTTTTTTTTTTTTTGGTTTATGACAAAGTATGTTAATTTATGCAAAATAAATGGGATTCCCTTTGTCTTTCGTGCTAATTAGCAAATGTTAGCATGTTAGCAAATATGATAATCATTATACCAGGTAAGTGTCAGCAGCTGTCACCGTGTGCTAACGTTAGCATATGGCTCAAAACAGGTCTCTAAAAGGCCTTATAGAGCTGCTAATTTTGTTGTTAAGCTGCTTACAAATTTTTTTTTTTTGCAAATTTTGTTCAGTAAATGAATTCGACCAAATGTGGGGAAAGAGCACAGGACCGACACGCAGTAAAAATCAGCCTTAATTAATCCCACAGTGGGGGAATTTGCATCGCTACAGCAGCAAAGTGGATGTTGCAGAAATCAGTACAAATTTTAACCAGAAATATACATAAGCACTGTTGATATTGTACAAATTCTTCTATAGATTCCCTTGAATGTGGAAAATAAGACGTTGCACAGGGTAATTCTGCATGTGAGAAAGACACTGGTGCTGCTCAGATTCTAAAAAACACTGATAATGCATTAACTTTATTGAGTCTAATGAGGATTCAGGCAACCAGGAATCAAACTGGGGACTCACTGCTAACAGCATTATATGATTTGTGTCCTTGTCACCATTCAGCTGTCAGGTTTCCCTTGTCTTATATAATGCAAATAACATGGATGAATTTAAGGCAGAAGTTTGCAAGTTCAGGATTTGCTATTCCGTCCCAAACCTGATGACTCAGTCGAGCACCAGGACTTGATTTGGATTCGATTCTCATGAGCACACATTCAGGACAGCGTCCAAACTGTCTGCCCCTGACCGTATTGTTCATATTAAGGCCGCTGCAGAGGGTGTGGTGGAGGTCAAGAGAGACAACTCCTCCTCGTCATAATGGGCTACAGTGATTATCATCAGGGTTTTTTTGTGTGTATGTGCAATGTTCCAATTCTCACAATAGTTTGTTATGTAATGATCTCCTCTTACTCTTCGGGATTTTTCCACCTGACTTCTTATTCCCTTCCTGTTTTTTTTTTTTCTTTCTCTTTTCTCTGCCCTCTCCTTATCCATCATTTCTCCCTTCTCTGCTTCTTTTCTATTTTTTCCCCTATCTCCTACCGCATATCGGTTTACGGAGGTGTCCCATCCCAGGGGACAAGATGTCTCTGTTTTTTTTTTTTTTCTTTCTCATACACACATTGGTGTTGTGTAACTGTGGTGACCTTTCATTTACTACAGTCACTTCCTCCTAAACCTGGCAGGTTCTCGTTCGAATTTAAAGGCACTGTGTGGGGTTTTGATCACGACTGGTGCATTAGTTTTTTAATTGCACCTGAAGCACAGTGTTGAATTTAAACAAAAACCTATTTAGCTTAAAATACAAAAGCTACTTTGCATTTTTATTATGGAACCTGATGCTAACATAGTGCTATATGTTGTTCTGTTTTAATCATGTCAAACCCTTGTGTTGCTAAATCAACTAAAACCCAGATCTTAAAGCTGCGTTAACACATTTTTTGACCATAATATTTACATTTTTGACATAATATTCCTATTATTCAGAAAAAAATGCAACCAGTTGTCAGTTCAGCACACATAAAGTAACAGCATTGTTTGGACAGTCTGCAAATGTAAGTCAAATATGCTCTGTTTTGGTCTCCGCCACCCCCTGCGAGAATCCTTTTTAGCTGTTAAACACTCCATTATGCCCGTCCGCATGTTGCTAACTTTGTCTGCTGCCAGTGTAGGATGTATGTAGAGCTTTTTCACAAAACCGAACTGTCTGCTGCTGCTAAAAGTGAGGTTGAAGAAACCAAAACAACAAGCTTAAAGACACTAAAACAGCCCGCAGAACTATGAGGAGCCACAATAGACGGAAACATTTCTGTAAATTGCCATGAGCACCACACACACAAACACAGTATTCTGATTGTTATTGTAAAAATATTGATGAGTCCAGCTGTAATGATGATACCTCTGACTGTCTCCACATCACGCAGTCACCGCTAAATCCCTTTTTGATGAGTGAGTTGAATTTTTTTGGTTAGTTCGTGTTCATTAAATCAACTTCATTGTTAAACTGCGGCCTGCTGATGTAAGCAAACGTCTGTCAGTAAAGCAGGGGGAAGACGGTCGGTTTACGACTGGCTTTGATCAGAACATGTAAACAGCTGTCAGCCTTCATGGAAAGTAAGCGTTCACCTCCTCCTGCAGGATGCTGAAGACGCAAGCATTGTATGAATCAAATGACAAATTATTTCGTTGTACATGTATTTAAAATAAACCTAATTTGCACAAACGTATGAGCTTTGTCCTCGCAGCTCCACGATTGGCTTTTCCATCCGTTGATGCAGGCTGTGACAGGCGGCGTCCGATTGGCTGCCGGCGCCGGTGATGCAGGCATGACTCATCTTCTATTCTGAGCCGGAGAGTTGACACAGGGTCCTGACCTTTCATCTCCTTGGTGACCGCTGTGATGTCATCCCCTCTCCCCGTTGCCATCATCCTCTTCGAGCCTCCCCTCCGTCTGCCTCCCTAATCCACTCAGGTTCGTCGGCATCACAGGCGAGAGGGGAGCAGGATCGTCAAAGCTTTCCGAGGCAGTTCATGTGGTTTGTGTGTGTCTGGGTGAGTCAGTGATGGCTTCGCTCTGTCACTACCAGACAATCACTATTAGTCCTCACATCATCGCTCTTCCCGTTAACAAGCTGGAGCTCATTCGCTGTAGCATCCACTCATGTCAGCGCATATCAATTCATACTTTGATAATAATGACTTTTATGTCAAAGCAGCCTTTAAATATTTAACAGTAGTCGAGGGCTGAAACAAGAGAGAAGTAATCGCCGCATGTTAGTGAACCAACTGGTGGGAAGAAAACCAAAATAAACCAGCGTATGAGGATATGTTTTGACCCATTATCTTATGAATGAATGCCTGTATCATTATCAAACATGCCTCGAATAGCTACCCTGTCAGAAACAGAAATAGAGGAACTTGCGTCAGTTTACAGAGCAAATTGTAGGCCCAGAGGACTCATTACGCTCCATTTTTAAAACAACAATTTCACTTTTCTCAACCAAATGCACAACAATAGCTTTTCTTTACTCTGCTCCACCTCGCAAAAAAAAGGTAATCACACAATGATGAATAACAGAGCGGCTGCTGCTACAAAAAGCAGTAAAATGCGGTTTGATATGAAGAAAATCTACAGCCCGTGTTTATATATAAGTCCACGGGGTTGTGTGGTTGGTTGGTTGGTGGTAGCTGGGTGGAGTAGCTGATGTATAATATGGTAAACGGTCATGGGGGTGGACAGAGATGGAGGGGATGGAGAGTAGGCACACATCCAATTTCCTATAATGGCTTCACAAACAGCTGGAGATAGAGGTGTGAATTTAGAATCAGACTCAGTGTGGCGACAACAGAGCGGCTCATATTCTTCTTCTTTGCTGTCTATAGATGATAAAGATGCCAAAAAAAAAGCCCAGAGTTTTCCTTCCCTGGTTTATTTTCTGTCTGTCACTGTCTTTCTTTTTACAGATGTCTCTCGTTGATCATAAAGTTCACAAGTTCAGGAAAAAAGCAAGATGCTCGGGGAGAAACGCGGAGACACAGTCGAGTAACGCCAAGACTGAAATAAAAGCCAGCCTCATTCTTTACACGCTCTTACATCATCTACGCACTCCAACAACGACTTTAACCGCTTTACTCGCAGACCGATGAACTTTGGTGACTGGGTTCACCGCTCGACTCCGGTTTGTGAAAATATCAAATGATAAAAATTAATCTGAGTGGCGATAATGAAGCTGGCAGTATGTGAACACCAGAACATTGGACCTAAATGTCATTTTTGTCATTCCGTTACTCTGCTACTAGTCTGCTTTTGTCTCTTCTGAGGAGGTTTTTCCACGAGATTCTGTGGAAAGATCTCCAAATACTACAAAAAGGTTGAGCAGTTCATGTGTGGTGGAAGTGTATACCTCTGATCAGATAGAAGGACTGTGCTGCCCTCTACTGGAAAATGGGTCATACAACACACACCTGCAAATGCACAATAAATAAATGCATTCATGGTTTCAAACTGCTAATGAATACATGCATCAGATTGTAATAAAATGCTTCAATGGTATTATCTTTCTATAAAACTTTTGGCAAACCCAACCTAAACAGCACCAGCTTCTCCTCTGACTCTCACACAGGCCCGTTAAACTGTCTGCTGCTTTTAAAGGCGACGAGAGGAGCTGATGCGATTTCCTCGTTATCTTTACCTGCTTGACCCCCTTTTTTTACTCCTTCTAGTACCTGCTTCAACCTCTTTTCCAAATGACTTCTGGCTGAGCTGGAATGCGCAATAAAAACAGCAAAGTTCAATTGGCAGCGCGCTTTACTCCCCAAGTTTGTACGCTCGACCGGTTCAGCAGGCAAACTCGCAGTCAAAAGTTGACTTTTTATCTGCAGGGATTTACTTCGCAAAAACAGCTGTCATGTCGTACACGTTCTCTGTGTTATATTTTGAAACCAAGGCCTTAACAAGCATGAATCCAGAAAGCCAAAAGCTGCAGGAAATCATCTGTGTTCCATAAAAGATCTGAAACCGGTCCACATATACACGGCACGTCTTGAACATTTACAGAACTCTTTGGAGGTTTTCTTTCTCATCACACTTCCTGTTGACGTAGCTTCATGTTTCAGTGAAGCGCGGGCTGTGTGTCACCACTGCATGGTCTTAGATCGGGTCAGTTTCCTGGTCAGAGCGTGGCGAACTGTCAGCATGTAGGAGCGACGGTCAGGCAGAGGGCGCTGCTGATCCAACACCTGCCTGTCAGACACAAGAAACAAACCGTCAGCCAAAGAACACATGCAATGGATTCGCAGGTAGGAGATCAGAGGGAGAAAGAGAAAGCGTGGTGACATCCTTCTGAGAGGACATCTGGAAATTCCTCACTTGTTTGGCATCAACATATTTTGAGATTTTAGGTTTGCAGATTAAACTTCTCAAAAGGAAAATAGAACGCTTTTTCTTTCTACAAGCTCTCTCTGGACCGTCCTCACCACCAGCACTGTTTTAAGTCCACGTAACGGTTGCATTTCCAGCAGAAACACTGAAAACATGCCCACAAATAGGTGCAGCACAGGACTGACTTTCCTATGAGTGATTTCAGTCAGACAGAAAATAGAAGAAACGAACCTAATGAGCTGAAGAACTGCTGCTTCCACTGCTAAAACTGCTTCGGCCACAGACAACTCCCTAAAACCACACCTACACACACACACACAAATTACATATTTCAGTTAATTATAAAACATGCACACAAGGCAGAGCAGGAGACAAATGGACGCTGATATCGTTTTCATCCAGTAATTATAAAGTTTGATTTGTAGTGATTCTGATTCCTCACAAGACTTTAGCTTTACGAAGATATTTGGCAGCAACATAAATACCCATAATATAAATAAGCAGTAATAAAAATAAACAAGAAAGTACAATTTTAAATACAAACCTTAAATCCTTCGCAAGCCTCTGTCCTTCCTCTGTTGTCACCTCCCTGCCGATTTCCAAATCTGCTTTATTGGCGACCAGCACTGCAGGAGCAACTGACACAGAGTGAGACGACGATAAAGCAGCAGCACGATGCAGTTTATTCAGCCTACCTACAGGGCACAGGAGCAGCTACCAAACAAGGAATGTATGTCGCTCCATCCGTATGTATGTGCATAAAAGTGACAATAGACAGATGTCATGACAGAGTCAGAACAGGCAAACAGAGTGAACACACTGTTCCTGTGGCTGGTTCAGTCGTTTGGAGAGTTCAGTCAGCAGGAGCTACCGGTGATGCAAACGTTAGATTTTTTGTGTGAAGACTTTAATGATTAAATAATGTCACGGATCATGTTTTGCAGCCTCTACTTCACTGTGAAATGAATTTCATTAAAGCCCCCTGTGTGTAGGATGTGTAAAGCTACTTATAGAAATGAGGTGTTTTATGACAAAGGCATCTCCATACTCAGACTGTGTTTGGTTTTGTCGATGAGCGTCTTGAGTCGTGGGACCTCCAGGAAGCTGCGGCGCTGCGTGATGGAGTAGAGCAGCAGGAATCCATCGGCCCAGCGGATGGAAGACTCCAGAGAAGCCACAGAGCTCTCCTGGAAGAGATCGTATCGTAAAGTCAAACATGCGAGCAGGAGGAGTTCATTTGTTAACGCAGATAAAAGTTGTGAAGTTACCTCAGTAGTTTAAATATTACAGTTAAGCCCCAACAATAAACATGTATTATATAAGGAGTAATATAAAAAACGAAGTAAAAGGCCCTGCAGGCATTCCTTAAATGAATAAACCAACACCAATTTGATTCACTGGACTGCAAAATAAGAACAATTCTATTAAGATTTTTATTTATTTTTAAATGGAGACATCTCACTGAAACACCCCAACACCAGTTTGACTAATGCCTAATCCCTTGAATGCATAATTAAAATGTTAAATATGTAATTTAGGAAGATAAATCAAATAAGAAATACCTGGTTTTGCATCAAAACATTGTTATATTTATTGGCATGAAAAATGATAGTGGGGAAATATGCTTATTTTTTCATTTCCTGAGAGTTTACATGAGATAATTTATGCCACTCTTATGTTTTTATACTAAATGTTAAGCCAGCCATTAGCAATTAGCTAAAGACTAAGCTAAGGAGGAGCAACTAGTCTGTCTCTGTGTAAAGTTTTTTTTTTAACATAAAAAAACACAATTATTCTCTAAATTTGATAAATATTTTAGTTCTGTGTTTGTTTGTGGTTTGTTTGTGATATTTAAAAGCAGAAACAGGCATATTCTTGAACCTTGAAGGCCCTACTCTAGGCTAATTGTTAGCTTAATTAGCTTTATGTAGCTTCACAGTGAGCACACAGACATAACACAGCTGATAAAAAGCTATAATTTTCCAAAATATCAAACCTTTTGGGATGGGATGACTGTTTTAAACTTGTCATCAGTACATTAATAAATGTCTGACATGTGGCAAAACTTTAATAAAGATTAATTTACATTCCTTTTTAATTCTTAATTTTCAGTTGTGAATTATTCTATATAAAATATTTAAAACAGGAAAAGTAGTTTTCAGTGTCACGGCTTCATTTTTTCCCCCATCCATCCATTATCTATACACCGCTTAATCCTCGCTGGGGTCACGGGGGGTATTTCAAATGTCATTATCAAATAAATCAATAAATAGAAGCCAACATTTACTTTACAAGCTGTGTCCAGAATCTCCAGATCAACAGTTTCTTGGTCGACCACCCGGCTGCATCTGTAGGTCACCTCTGCAGAAACACACACACCTTCATCATTTCATCCTGCCAGTGAACCACGCAGGGGAGTAATGCATTGTGTAATTATTTTTCCATGTCAGCGAGGGGGGGAAAAAAAATATTTACCAACCCTTTTTATGGTCGTATTCGCCAATAAAGCGTTTGGTTATGAAACGAACACACAGTGCTGCGGACACAAAACAGACACGGTGACTGGAGAGAGCGCCGCCTGAAACACAACAGACTGATATTTCTCTCACATGCTGCACATTCACACACACACATGAATTACATGTTTGCATCAGATCTGCAGCATCTTGTTCACCCATCATGCATTGTAGTTTTTTTTTTAGAATGATCCTCTTTGTGACGTTCTTGCCTTGTTTAAAGAAATGCACAAGTGCTTCGGCTGTGTTTGGGTGGAAGAAGTCTGGAAGCTTCATGTTTGTTTGACTTGTGTGTCTACTGTTGAAGGACTCGCTGTATTTTAGCATGACACATTAAAAGGCTGTCATCTGAACCTTTACACCTTGAGCTTTCATTCAGGCTGCCTGTCTCAGTCTGCCACACCACAATCCCAACGTGCAGATATTTTTTTTGCGCTGCTTATTTTTGCTGCCACCACCAACAGAATGCAAATTAACGGCATTACGTGTGTGTGTGTGTGGCCCTGTCGACCCCTGATGGTATGCTTAAACTCTGCAGGGCCGCATATTCCTTTAACACAACTGGTCAAACATAATTTGATTTACTGTGGGATTACAATAATGTTTGGCAAACTTCCTGTGTTTTTGCAAATTGAGTTCAGCAAAAATGTTTTGTGCTTCTAGACAAAAAAAATCCTCAGTTGTGTACACATGAGCATGCACAAAATAAATCAGGTATCGTAGTCTTTTTAGATTTATTTATAATGTTAAATCTTACTGCATTCGTTCACTGTACAGCACTGAAACAAGCTCCTATTAAATAATGCAAAATGTACACAGCCATTCAAAATTAAACGAGACATGCGTCAAAACTTAGCCGGATACACTCGAACGCTCAGGAAGACGGGTCACCTTCGGGTCAGGGTAAGGCTTCCATTTTTAGCCAAACGTATCAAACCGTGACCACGAGTTAACCCTAAACTTAACCTCTTTTATTCGCTAATGAACACGTGAGAACGCGTTACGTAATCCCGAGTTCACAAAACACACTGTGCTTTTCTGTACCTGTTTTCCCAGTGTTCTGATCTCCCAGAATGAGGAGTTTAACTGGAACCATTTTCCTGCCAGTCAATCCACAGTTTGTCCCCTCATGGAAACCCTGCAGGAGAAAGAGTTAAATAAATGACAATATAAACCCTTGCAGAACTGAGGGGAAACCTAATCTTTATGAAACTACAAACAAACATGGAGGACTAACTATAATATAAATAGCACTACATTACAGTTTGCAATCATACTGACCTTAAAATAGAAATAAATTCCAGCCTCAGACACTGAGCAGGCAGAGAGCAGAGGGATGTGACGGTCTTCTCCCCTCGTCTGTCTCCCTCTGTGGTTGTGTTTGGTTATAAGAGCTCTCTCTCCCTCTCCCGCTCTCTCTCTCTCTCTCTCTCTCTTCGGTTACAGTATATGACAAGAGCCATGTGTCTGGAGGAATGGCGTCCAACTCCGCACACAAATCCCATTTTGGATTCATTCAGGACACATATAAAAACACACTTTTTTTTTCTCTCCAATGACTTACAATCATCCCCCAGGCCTCTAATCTTGAAGATAAATGTGGTGCAAAAGTCATTTATAGTAGCTCCCTCATGCGCAACATTAAAATGCTTCTTACTTACACTTTAATGCAGGGCTTTATGTTTTACAGAAGACATCAAGGAAATGAATGAATGATTTTTAAAGCTTGCTGATAAAGCAGCAGTGCTTTAAAGCTGCTTGTGTGGGAATTGTTTCTTTTAAACAATGAGACAAGTCGGGAAATCATGACTCATGTAGTCTTGCATGTAGCGGCCTTGACATTACCTCCGGACTCTGCTACGACTGACTTCTTTCAAGAATTCTGCATTTCAAGCAGCCCTGTGTCGGAGGGATGGCTTGGCAGCTGCTGCCTGGAAAGATTGAATATCAGACATTTTAACGCTTGAAGAGAAAAACCTAAAATCAGCCACATCAGACCACTGTAAAAGAAGCAACCAGAGAGATCATTGCATCTGACAGCAAGAAATTTAAACGTTGGATCGAGGAGGCGAGGCAAGGACACCATGAACCGTGATGAGGGGGGCATCCATGCTGTCCCACACATGGGACGCTCTCTTGCAAAGACCACCGGGCGGCAGGAGGCCAGGTGGGTCACGCCTCCAGGAAACCAGCAGCTGATAAAGACACGCCAAAACTCTTGGCTCAGAGCAGTGGAGGAGGATTTGCTTCTAATATGAGAAAAAGATCAAATGGTTTAACTTCTTCTTCTTTGCATTGAAAAATCTAAACTCACTGATGAGCTGAATTTTCTGAAAGGTGATTATAAGAATCCAACACAACAAATAAAAACTACTGAAATGTGGATTAAAGACATTTGTAGGGTTTTATTTATAGTTCATAGGTTTCTCAGAGTTATTCAACAAAGCTCTTTCTCAGCGCGACAACGATTGAACTGTATACAACAAGCATCGAGGACAGGTTTAAATAAAGGAGCGACACCCAGTTTGTTCGGCGAAGTGTGAGTTGTTTCAGAGCAGGAGAGAGTTTTTTTTAGCAGACGGACGGCTCGTCGACGGCGGCGGCTCCTTCTGTGACCGCTTTGACGCATTTGGCCATCGTCTGGGAAGCCCTGCTGATGGAGTCTGAGCACAGAAAGGGAGCACACATTTTAAGATTTTGTATTCTTTGGGTATGTATTCCTATTTAAAGAGCAAACACACTGACCTGTCATGTAGAAGTCCTTTGCTGAAAGTTGAGGTGGCACCAGAGGAGCTGCTATGAGGTCCTGGTTCAGACCCTGAGAGGAACAAAGTGGTTGAGTCAAGAGATAATCATCACTAAAGGTAGAGAAGCTAATTGTGTGTGTATGCCAGTGTTTACCTGAGCAAGTTCATTAGCTTGTTTGAAGTAGTTTGCCTCCTCCACGTCGTCATAGCGGACCAGGTTAGGAGAGACCTCGGCTAGCCTGGATCGGACCTCGTCCAGAGTGTCGTAGGGCAGCGTCAAACCAGCCAGCTGTAAAAGCACATTCCTTTGAATATCTGCTTTAAAGTTAGAGCATGAACATCAGTGTGTGAATGCGTCTTTCCTTACTTCAGACACAGCTCTGATGATCCTCCAGTCCTCTCTGGCCATCCCAGGAGGAGTGACAGCCACCTTGGTGTGTTGGCTCCTGCCTTCAGTGTTGACATAAGTGCCGTTTTTCTCCGTGTACGCAGCACCGGGTAGGATGATGTCTGCCATTGGTGCTCCTACGTCACCATGGTGACCTGGAGAGGAGGAAACCTAATGTTAGTGTATTTACAGAAATTAGCAATGTTGGGTTTTTACACTTCTCCTGCAGGGTTTTAGTCTAGTTCAGGACCAACACAACAATAAGATCGGTCCACATGCAATTAAGGAAATGAAGCTGTTACTTTATTCGACAGTAACCTGAGCATTTTTCTCTTATTTTTGATCATCTTAGAAACCAAAATGTCTATTCTATTCCAAACTTAATTCTTCTCATGTTGGCACTTCTTTGGCGAAAACCTTTGGATGATAAAAAATCCTCTAAGCAGTGTCATGCTATCTGTTTAGTGTGTGTTTGCTGCTGCTGTGTCTTTATGTGTGTGTACCCTGGTAGACGATGAGGCTGTCTTTGGGCAAGTCGGCTCTGGTGATGCAGCCGGCATCAGCTCCCAGCAGAAACAGGACTTTGGGTGGATTATTCCTGATGGCATCCACGCCGGCCTTGTAGCCCAGATCCAGTGCAGCAACCTGACTGGCAACTCTGCTCGCACACACGGAAAGTAGCAAATAAAATTAAGTTTAGTTATTCAGCACCTTTTTAAAGCAAAGTGCTGCAAATGCTGTAAGACCAGCAACAATAAAAAATGTGTGCAAAGAAAGAAAAATCAAATAATTCTAAAATTATTTGAGACCATCCGGCACAACCTAAGGCTGTTAAAAACATTGAGATTTTTCTTAAAATTGTCAATAGAGGGAAGGCATTTGATTGAAAGAGGACAGCTATTCATAAGCTTTGGAGTTGCAAAGACAAAATTCCTCCTGAACCACCAGCCTCAATCAAAAAACTGTTAAAAGCAGTTCTGAGGATTTCAGAGGCCTTGAGGTAGGGAGGGGGCAGACAGGTTCTGACATGTACCCATGCATAGATTCAAAAACAAAGAAAATAGCATAAAACCAATTCTGTATTCAACAAATAGACAATGCAGGAATATCTCCCTCCTTGTGGCTGACTTTGACACTAACTCTGTGTGTATTAGGAGCAAAAATTTTCACCACAAGCACCTACAATCTGCAAGAAGGTTCAACTGATTTTGTACCTGTGCAGAACATTGAGGACCTTCCAACCCTCCTCCACTCCGCTGCTAGTCCTGGCGTTCTGAGCGATGGTGGAGACGGTGCTCAGAATGGCGGCTCCGTCTTCCCTCTGCAGAGCGCTGCTGCCGACGACCACCACTGGACGCTTAGCAGCCGCGAGTACCTGCAGATACGGACAGAAAAGTACGTTTTTGTGGCAGAAATTCCTTTGGAAAGAACTTCATCCCCACTGATCTGACTGCATGTGTGTCTCTTACCTGGCAGAAGGGGTGTGTGCCGTTAGCCAGCTCCTTCAGTACTGAAGTCTCCTCTCCCAGGTGGTCGTACGTGTAGCTCAGGTCGACATTGTGGCCGACCATTGCAACACGCAGCTCATTATGGAGCCAGCTGATGAGAAACGAGGACAAATATTCAGTGACTAACACAATAATATGCAAGCAGATTGAAAACATGAAACGTGATGTTTGAGTTTACCTCTTGCGGACTCTGGCGTTGAACAGCGGCGCTTCATACCGCGGGTTTGTTCCTACGAGCAGCAGCAGGTCACAGTCCTCGATGCCGGCAATGCGGGAGTTCAGCAGGTAGTTGGAGCGCAGGTCAGTGCTGCGGAGAGAGCGAAAAGAAAGTCAGCTTATAAAGCCACACGCCTGAGGAATGACGGGAAACACAGAGCGTTCCTTACCCTGCTCCTGCCATCGGGAAGAGCTCCTCAGTGCAGAGGTTTTCTGAGTTGACACTGTTGAGGAGATCTTTGAGGGAGACCAGAGCTTCAGCGTCTGCCATCCCTCCTGCTATGGCGGCGACGTCGTTGCCCTGCACGCTCTGCAGCTGTACGCACACACATACACACATTTATGCATACTGGCCTCACTAATATAACCTATGTTGAAAAATGAGCTTGTTTTGCTACATGACAACTAAAAAATTGTGATAAGAAAGATCCAGGAAGGAGGGAAACACTTACTGCTCCAGCAACACGAGTGAGAGCGTCCTCCCAGGAGGTTGGGGTCAGCTGACCTGAAGCGTCCTTCACCATTGGCTGGGTCAACCGTTGCCTCTTCAGACCATCATATGCAAACCTGCAAAGACACACAGCAGCCAATTTATTATAGACAGATTTAGCTTTTATAAATTCTCATTAGTGTTTTCTGGTTTGGGTCTATCTGTGTCTTACCTGGTCTTATCAGAGATCCACTCTTCGTTGACGTCTTCGTTCAGCCTGGGCATCACCCTCATCACCTCCCCTCCTCTTGTGCTCACGACGATGTTGCTGCCCACAGCATCCAACACATCGATGGATTCGGTTTTTCTGCAAAGACAGCAGAAGACAAAGCTAAAGAGAACAGTATGACATAAAAACAAGCACCTTTACCGTTACTGCACCACCTTATATAACTTCAAGAAAGCATATATATTTAATTATTTGGTTTTGTGTTGTGATACCTTAACTAAAGCATCAAACCCTTTCCTACCTGGTCTCCCATGGTCGTGCGGTGAAAGCGTAAGGTTTGGAGGTGAGCGCTCCGACAGGACAAACATCGATAACGTTGCCTGACAGCTCTGACATGAACATCTTTTCCACGTAAGTTCCAATCTGCAAGTTGTTTCCTCTTCCTGTTGTTCCCAGATCTTCAACTCCAGCGATCTCACTGGCAAAGCTACGGAAAACCAACACAGAAGGGCATGAGTGTGCCAATCAATCTCACCACATTACAAAAGATTAAAACATGTTTCCTAACACACACGTCTATGGCCCACATACCGGACGCAGCGCGTGCACTGGATACAGCGAGTCATGATGGTTTTGATGAGAGGCCCGATGTTTTTGTCCTCCACGGCTCTCTTTGCTTCTGAGAAACGGCTGCGGTCTGAACCAAACTGCATGGACTGATCCTGAGAATGGAGATTAGTTTTCTGTCAGGGTTTTCTATTGACTCGGCTGGTGTGGCAGCAAACATATCAGCACCTCAAAACCTCACTTTGTAATAGTTTTTGTGTGAACTGTTTGCCATAATTAGAATGTCTTCTACAAAGTTTGTTTTGTATAAGGGTACCTGCAGGTCACACTCTCCTCCCTGATCACAAATAGGGCAATCCAGTGGGTGGTTGGCCAAGAGGAACTCCATCACTCCCTCTCTGAAACACACACATTAGACTTGCATGTTTACTACAGTTTAACTTGACAGTTCAAAAGCTTGTCTAAAGTTTGAATTATATTTGCATAGAACTTCATGGTGACCAAAGGTTGTACCTGGCTTTGCGTGTCTTCTCTGAGTTGGTGAGGATGTTCCAACCTTTCATGACGGGCATGGCACAGGCTGCTACCGGCTAAAGGCACATGACAGCACATATGCATTAACTCCACATTAATACTCAAACACTGAGAGCAATTTCTGCTTCTTGTGTTATCTCAGTTGATGCTGTTTTATTCGACGCTCTTGCAGCAAATGTCTGTTACCTTTGGAGCTTTCTCAATCTCCACCAGACACATACGGCAGTTTCCCGCCACCGAGAGGCGCTCGTGGTAACAGAACCTGGGGATCTGAATTCCTGCCTTCTCACAGGCCTGATGGGAAAATAAAACAAGATGACAATTAAAACAAGTAAATTCAACATTATGAAAATGAAAATAATAAATCACAAACAAAAAACTGCGAAAACTATTAAGATGACACCAAGTGAATTTTTGTTCTGGTCTTTGATAGAAACATTTAAATCTGTGAAGCTGAAGTGATGTGTAAATTAATCTATTGCACCCTCTGAGAATTAAATAAATAGTTAAAGTCCTGTGGGATTCCTGAAAAATTGCAGGTCCTCTAACTTTTGTGAAAATCAAAGTTGATTCTTTATGTACACAGACAAATACACTACACCTGTTAAATAAATGAATGAAAGATCATGTCATAAGATTTTTGAGTTACGGACCAAAATTACGAAAGCCAGGATGAGGCAGAAACGAGACTGCAAGACCTCAAAATACCACACAGGCTCAGATTCAATATCTTCCACTTAATCCACATTAATAAACCAAACATAAATGCAATAAAGCAGTACACAACATGAAGGAACCTATGAAACATCCGCAGCTGCATCTTACCTGCAGCACAGTAGTTCCAGGCTCTACTTCCACTGCCTTCCCATCCACAAACACTTCCACCATATTGCTGGCAGCACGCACTGGAGTACGCACTGAAATTACACACAAAAAGTTACTGAAATGACTCCAACTCAACCAAAAATAAACCCTGAAATATTTATTGTCTACATAAATTTCAAAGAGAGTGTTATGTTGGTTAAATCTTCAGCAACAAACATGATTTTAAATACATATGATATGGGTTCTATTTAACATAATGCAACAAAGATTTCCCAAAAGACTAAAAATACTTGAGTCATATAAAGAATTTCAAAATGTTCTACTACACTACATGCACACAGAGGTACAGCCCAATAACAATGAACAGAAAAACCTGTTAACTTGACCTTAACACACACACAAACACAAGTTGAACGTACCTGGGCTACATGAAGCCAAGCTGCCCTTGGCGGCTCCGGCTAGAGCTCGGCCGACGTTCGGCAGTCGCAACATGACTCTGTGACAGAAAAAATATATGATTACAAAAATCTGAGTTGGTTCCAGGGCACCAAATATTCCACTAACCAACATGTACAACAGAGCTCATAAAAGGGAATGATTAAAAATATAAATCAGGCAACGGCATTCAAGGTGAGTTTGAAAAGTGAAAGTTTTTCTTTCAGTTGGTTGAGGCATCAAAAAACACACCAATGTGAGTTGGCTTGTGCCGACTCCAGTGTGTCTATACACAAAGGAACTAAATTATTACAATTGAACAAAATCAGAGGTTGGCAACACACATATCTAATTCCAAATAGAAGCTATTAGAATTAACTTTTTAAAATTAAAGGCCTAATGAAATTGCCAACTCTTCATTGATTGACGACTGATTAATTACTGGTCTATAAAACACTGCAATGCAGATGATAATGTCTACTACAATTTTCCTGAGTCAGAGCACAATCAAAGAGTCCAACATTCAAGCATATAATGTCCATTATCTGAGAACACCCAGAAGACATATTTGAGAGGCTGCATGTTGAAGCTTGAATAATAATTTTATTCATGAGCAGATCGTTAAAATACTTGAATTATTCTTTGTGAACTAATAACCTTGACCTAACTGTTTTGCTCTAAAGCAACTACAAAAAGCATGCTTAGTAATAGGTGTAAGTTTGTTATTAACGAAGGAAGCATAGCTGGCAGCTCTTTAGTCGTGTTGTCATAACATAATCTCTGCACTGCAGAGAATGCACAGCCCCTCTTTAAGTGTCTGCACCTCTAATTGGGTCACTTACCATTATAGATGTGTAGCAACAGGTTGTGAATAATAATACAGTTGAAAATGGTACTTATGGTGTTTCACGACCCATAGAGTTGATTGTTGACAAAATACGATGAGATTCTTTGAGGATGAGTTATTCAACTTTAATGTCAAATGCATAACAACTTATTTAAAGACACATCTGGTGCACTTTGACTGGACTTTCTTCTTATTGTATTGGACAGCCTCAGAACTGACTGGAGTCTCGTCAATACCTTTGACAGAGATAATGTACTGCATAGTTGTTGGACTAAATCAGTTCTAGTCTTGCTGACAAACTCCTGTCAGTGTATAAAAGCAGAGCCTCAGCAGCTAGTGCTAGCTAGCTTGGTAGCTGTCAACAATAACAAGTGTAATTAGCACTCAAATACTTAGCTACTGATTCACAGAGATAACAAAGAAAGAAAAGAAGAATTTCCGACACATATTAACATGCCAAAATGTTAAGAAAATACTCAGTTTTTCTTTAATATGTACAAGAGTAAGGGCTAACAAGCAGCACGAACCTTCCAGTGAGGACTCCTTGCTTGCAGGCTAACAGCGCTAGCTCAGAGTGCTACTCAAGGACACGGACAGTGCATGATGTTAGAGGGTAACTGAGGTTATACCGTCAAACGCCTCTTTTTTTATCAGTCGTGCAGTTAAATAACATGTACACTGTGTCGCCTTTATATGTGCATTGTGTGTCTCTGGTTCTTACCTTTCGCTATTTGGCCTTCTGGACCAGAACAGCAGTGATCTTAGTTACACCACTAATGAAACAGCTATGGCGTTAGCGGAAGTAGCACAGGGTCCGTCTTCCGTTTGAAATGAGGTCTCAACATTTTCACTTATATTAATATGTCAGTGAAATAAACAAAATTACTAAGTTAAGATATTGTGTTACTCAAATCTCTCTTTTTTTTTATTACTACTGGGAAAAAAAAAATATCTAAAACTAATGCACACCAGCTTTAGCAACTATAAACCTGTCTTCCCCCCCCTTTTTTTTCTTGCGGAAAACTGATTTTGTTTATCCTTCTAAATTATCAACAAATATTCAGAATATTCAGGTGTTCACATGATTTTCTGATGAATACCTATGTTTATTTGCATCCGGGATGGGCAAGAAGGAAGAATATTAATGTTAACATCACCAAACAGGAGGATACAGCACTTAAAACACAAAAATCACATAAAATAAACTAAAAACTAAAAAGAAAGTGTTGGGTTTTCTTGTATATTGCTGCCTGTGTAGTCAAAACACTTGATTTTAATTTGTTTGGGTTTATTCCCACAATAATAACGCCGTAGAGTCTTAATCTTAATATTTATTTTAGTTAGATTAAATTCCGTAATTCATAATACCATGAGGTCTTAGCTATATTAGTACATTATTAAGGTTTAAAAATGAATCAGTTTTATGTTTAGAATTGATAACTGTTCTTTCTATTTTCTCATTCTACATAAAATAGATGAGCAGCTTACTTTTCACTTTAGACTACATTTCCCATGATGAACCGCGCGTTTACCGGAAGTTTCTACGTGTGCGTTTTTGCGACAGTTCAGGAAGCATCTACAAACAGCTACAGAAACGAGCAAGAGTTGGTGCTCTCTCCTGTGAAGGAGTACGGCAAAAACAGGTAAAAACCCTTTACAGTGAAAAATAGAGTTTATCTCCGGAATATTAAACTGCCACTGCAGCGTCTTACGGTAAGTATTTTACTGATTAGCCTGAACGGGCTTGAACTAGTTAGCAACAAGCTAACTGTGTCTCCTAGCAAACACAGCGTCTATTAACAAGGAAATTCAATAAATCGGTGTTTGTTGAGGTTGTGACTGGTATTTTTCGGCAAATAAGATATTTAATTAGCGTTTATTCAAAGTTTTTGCTTAATTCTTAGTTGTTTTAGTTAACTTTATTACTATGTAGCATATATGTTTGCACTATCACCCCATGTTTCTGTGTTGTCCTTTATAATTAACAAAATTAGCTCATGCTTATCATTGATTGTATGCTATAGAGTACTTGTATAACACATTTAAATTGATATATTCTGAAATTTTGAGTTGGAGGACTATATGACTTGTTGTAAACATGAAATAACTAAGATGCAAATTAGTCACCAAGCTATAGGACGCAAGAATCACAGTCTGTTTGTCATTTTGCCAAATATGATTTTCTCTTTATAAGGATTTTATTTTCAATATGACATACTGCTTTCTATACAGGCAATGAACTAGCTCTAGCAAATACTTACTCCAAAATATCTCAGTTCATTGATATGGTAAATTAATCTTATTTATCAGGTAACTTACATTAAAACATTTCAATTCATTGAAGGTTTTTTTGAAAAATGGTTCTGTCCATGTCTGTCATCAGCTGTTGTCTGAAAGCTTTGTAAGCATACACAGGTTACATTTCAGATTTAGATAAATGCATCAGGTTCTGAAAACATTTTAGTACCTGATGCTAAAGGTAAGCAGGATGCTCATTTAGACCGGAAGTCAGCATGTTGAAATGTTAATGGAAAGGAATGCATTAAGTAAATTCATCGTACATAGCATATAAGGTGCTTTGAAATTTTAAAAATAGCATAGAAGTTTTTTAAAAATGGGTTTGTCCACCATCAGCTGCAGTCTGGAAGCTTCATGACTAAGCAGAATGAAAATTTCACAACAAAAATAATGGATCAGTTGTTTAAACTTATCATTTTAAGGCCTAAATATTACACAAAACATTGTATTTAGATACAGTTTGTTTGATTGGTGTATCTGCATTTACTGCAAGTCCTTTTCATGTGCCCTTACAATTCCATTTTCAGCACCATGTTGCCGACGACCTCGCCGAACAGCAACGGCGCCCTCAATTCCAGGGACGCTGCACGCCACACAGCGGGCGCCAAGCGCTACAAGTACCTGCGGCGGCTGCTCCACTTCAGACAGATGGACTTTGAATTCGCCCTGTGGCAGATGCTTTACTTGTTTACGTCGCCGCAGAGAGTCTACCGCAACTTCCACTACAGGAAACAGACCAAGGATCAGTGGGCCAGGGACGATCCTGCTTTTTTGGTCCTGCTCAGCATTTGGCTATGTGGTAAGTCTGTACTCAGCTTTTTTTCTCTTTTGCTTGCCTCTTTGATTGTCAGTAAACACACTTTGGTCAAGATTTTTTTCCTTATCATACCTCTGTTTTGGATTTGTCACCTCTTACCTTCTTGCTGCAAGTAAAAGTCGGGTGTTCTCACCTTTGCTATGATAACAGACCACTCCTTTTATTATTGTGCAGTGTCAACAATAGGCTTTGGTCTTGTGCTGGAGATGGGAGTCGTGGAGACTCTGAAGCTGCTGCTGTGGGTGGTCTTTGTTGATTGTATAGGAGTCGGTCTGCTCATATCAACCTTGATGTGGTGAGTGCTCCTTTTGACATGTTTTTGAATCATCTGTGCAATTAATAATACATTTAAACACTGAGCTTAACCCTGAAAAATTATATTTCTTTTCCAGGGTGATCACCAACAAGTACCTACTAAAACATCCCAGCAGAAACTTTGACGTTGAGTGGGGCTACGCATTCGATGTTCACCTCAATGCTTTCTACCCGCTTCTAGTCATCCTGCACTTCCTGCAGCTTTTCTTCATCAACCGTGAGTCGATTGTGTCTCTGAAAGTTTTGCTGGTGTTTTGTTTCAAGGCGTTAAAGATAGCCGAGTTAGTTCTACTATGATATTGTACAGATTTTTTGATTAATATATAAATACTAGTTGATATTATTTTGATTTCATAAACAGTTGATGCACCATTTTTAGTTCTTGTTTTGTGTGTTTCAGATATTGTGGTGATAAATTCAGGATGGTTCCTGGGATACTTTGTCGGGAACACTTTGTGGCTGATCGCCATCGGTTATTATCTTTACATCACCTTCTTGGGCTACAATGGTACGTCTCCTCAAATCAAATCAAGTTTGCTGTACACACAACAGTAGGACAAACAAGATGAGAGAGCGTTTCTTCAGGAACAAATAACTAAAAGCTGTTAAACAAAGAAGTGTTTGCACATCTGGATCAGCAGTTCAGCATTCTGACAGCTTGTGGAATGAAGCTGTTGATCAGTCTGGAGGTTCATTTCTTCAGTGCTCCGAAAACATTTGCCTGATGGCAGCAGTTCAAACAGTTTATAGAGAGGGTGTGTACATCTGAATACACTGGTAGCTTGTTCTCAGTTTTGTTTTCTTCAAAGAGAGCATTTCCACAGTTAGTATATAGTTTCTTGATCCCTTAATCTTTGTAGGAAGATTTCAGATCAATCACTAAAAAATGGCATTTTTTAAATTAGACTTTGCTGCCATCTTGTGGTCAGAAATAATTTATACATCACCAGGAGTGTTGAAGCAAGTGTAAAAGTTTGAATTTATGGAAACCCTTGAGTGCTTTCTGGTGACGAATTTGAAATACATTGAATATGAATGGGTTTTGTGTTCAGTGTTTTATGCTGAAACTGAAATAGAGGTGGGCACATTTACACATGGAAACCAATGGGATGAGGTTGTTAACAAGCTGCATTTTCATTGGCTGAAGGCGGTGCTTCCAGTGAGGGGATTGCCCCCCATTAACCAAGCGTATACTGTTTCCCAGTTATAATGTAGTTCATGTCTGACTCTGTAGATCTGTAACACGATCTTCTCCTTCCATCCTCCCAGCTCTACCCTTCCTGAAGAACACCGTGGTGCTGCTCTATCCCTTCGCTCTGCTCGGCCTCATCTACATCCTGTCCATCACGCTCGGTTGGAACTTTACTCAGGGCCTCTGCTGGTTTTACAAGCACAGAGTGGAGTAGAAGCAGTTTGCCGCCGAGGTTGGACACTAACTGGCTCTGGGCCGACTCCAAAATCTATTTTAAAATCACATCTACGTGACAATGAATCCATTTCCAGCTGCTGTCAGTCAACATCTGGTTGAGAGGGATCTCTGGTTGACTCTCAGTGAACTGGGACTCGGGGTTGATTGATGCTGAGCCGCTCGCTCGGCTCGGCTCTCACTTGATTTTCTGTTCAGCTCTGACGTTGAGCTGGAGCTCCAAAGTCAGTGATGTGTTTGGACTAGTTGCAGAAACAACGGGACGGATGACACGCAGCTTTTATCGGTGTTCTTTTTGTATGATTTGTAAATAGTACTCTGGCAGGTTGTAATATATACCCAGAGGGTTGTTTCTGAAGAGGATGCTTTGTTTCTTTGAGTTTTCTTTAAAAAAAGACTGAAAAAATCAAATCCTGCTTATTGATGAGAAAAAATTAAATTGGAGGAATGTAGGATGCAAACTTGTTTTTTTCCCCATTTTCTTTTTTTTCTTAAAGTGTACATTCCAAAGCACTTTCAATAAAAGGTTTTATTAACTTAAACTGCCTCAGTTTGAAGGTTCTGGAAGAATAAATTATGACTGTACATATTAAAACACTAAATGACAGGTACACATCCAGACTTTTTGATCATATATCTGCTTCACAAAGTATGAATCAACTTATTGTCGTCCACCATCTGCTAATCAGTGCCTCTAAACTTGACATGTTCAGACATTGTCTCATCTTTTTCGATTGTGATCATGGAAAGTTCCTCTTAAGTCTCTAAAATCAGGTGCTGGTTTGTCAAACATACTTTAAGTTTCCAACTTACCTTTTGGGCGGCTGTGGCTCAGATGGTAGAGCGGGTTCTCCACTGATGGCAAGGTTGGTGGTTCGATCCCCCACATGCCGGGGGGGAAGACACTGAACCCCAAATGGCTCCCAATGGCAGATAAGCACCTTGCATGGCAGCTCTCTCGCCATTGGTGTATGAATGTGTGCGTGAATGGGTGAATGAGAAACACTGTAAAGCGCTTTGAGTGCCACAAAGGTAGAAAAGCGCTATGTAAGTGCAGACCATTTACCTCTGTTCCTGTCACCAGTCATGTTGATTTTCCCAAGAAGCATCAGAGGAACGTTAATCCATTTGGAATTTTTTTAAAAAGTCACCTGGTGCCTGGCTTTAGTCTTTTCCTTCACATCAGTAAGGACTTTACCCAACACAGTGGTGCAAAAAAAGGTTCAGATTGGTGCAGAAAAATTCACCTTCAACTCCAGATTAAATGCAGGACGACCCCCAGACCCTGAGCTTAATTAAATCATGTCCATGCACCAAAAACAGAACTTAATCTAGAATTTTCTGTCAAATCATATCTTTACAAACACATTTTTTAGAAAAGCACTGATAGCATTTACTAGTTGCTTTCTGACAATTGTTAGAAGCTTCTTGAGGTACGTTTTAAGGGGAAACTCATCTTCTTCAGTGAACAGTGGTGGGATGGAAATGTATTGTCAACCCAAGATTAGAGACCTTCAGGTGAGTCTTCTGTTTTCCTGGCAGTTGGTAGTTTTACTCCGTTACATTTAAGAGGAACAATTATACGTCTCCCTTCACTTCAGTAACAGACAGATAACTAATATATAACGTTATGTGATTGTTATGTAGAAATATGGTTAAAGCAGGAGTTTGTTTGTAGTCATACCTTTGTAATCCTTGTCACGACAGCTGTCAGTTACGGCACAAAGAGGTAGAAAGTGACCAACCATAATCCTTTCACGTCTCTAAAATTAAACCCAGCTGTCAGAGCAAACTCTATAGAAACCAGATTATTATTGGAGATTCTTATCCATGACCTTTTGCTTAAATCTTAAATGAATAAACACATAAACACTTCTATCACATGAATAATAACATAAAATCGTCACTTCAAAAATTGCAATTTTAAAAACAATGTATATATTTAATTTTTTTTTTAATTTGCATATTTGTCACATTTTGCAAAATGTGTTTCCATAGACTTAAAAGTCACTTTTTTTAAAAAGACATTTGACTCTGAAATGTCAGCAAAGTTCAATACATTTCAGGATGTTCTTAAATGAATACATCCTTTGTTCAACAACACACTTTTAAATATTCAGTATAATAAATATGCAATATAAACAAGTTACTGATTTACTCTAAAGTAAATCCACTGGTGAAAATTCATTGTAAAGTTGGACGTGTCACCCTGTGAGTGACCGTCAGTGAAAAGCCACACAAGTCGTTGGGCTTTCTGCAAGACACACCGCAAACACTGTCCTGTGTGCCGCACTTACAAACTAACTATATACATATTTACAAAATGGCCCTACAGCGCCTGCAACAGATCATCTTCCTTCAAGCTTGAACTTGAATTTCATTTGGAAGTCTCTGATGCCAGTGTTCAGTCTTTGGTCACTGTAGGTCCATCAGAAGTCCATCGATGTCAGACACACAGGCCAGCACCAAGAAATCCAGATGCAGCAGAAACACTGGCCTGTGTGCCACACGATATCCATATGTACAATCACCACCCGTCAGTCAGCCACGCCGTTGTTCACAGGGCCTTGGTGAAGTCATCGGGGTGCTGCCGGCCTGGCCAGACGCACAGGCCAGCCGCCCTGCCAGACGCTAGGGCTAGTGTTCACATGGAGGGTTCTGTGGGAAGCAGGTGAACATCCATCACACTCTTAAGCGCTTCCTGGGCGGCGATGAGGGGATGCTGCTGCTGCTGCTGCTACTGCTGCTGCTGCTGCTGCTACTGCTGCTACTGCTGCTGCTCCTCCTCTTTCGCTTGATGTTGTTCATCTCTGCAGTAAATTCCGCTTGTTTTTCTGTATGAGCGCAGGGCTCGCAGAAGACCGACATGAACATATTTCCCATGTCATCGTAGTCGCTGATCAGCCACCGGTTTGCCACCTCTGTGTCTTCTGTCATGTAAATGGGGGACAGGACTCTGATGATGAACGAGTCACCGATGTTGTGGATGCGGACATGGTTCCTTTGGTCGGCCTTCAGCTGCGTTAAGGTTGCCTTCACAGGATGGCATGGCCAGAGAGTCGCCTCGAGTGGACAGCTGGGGCCAGGCGGCACCAACAAACCTGGTGGGTCTTTATAAAACGGACATTGCACGCTGTTCTCCACCTGCCTGTAATCCATGAATGTAAAAGGTGTGTGCAACACTTTTGAGGCAAAGATTCCCCGACACTTCACAAGCGGGAAGTCCGTGGAACCTGTGATCAGGCTCGTGTACATGCCAAGGATGTAGAGGGGAAAGGAGGAAAGTTGTTTGGCCGTCAAAGGGCGGTTCCTCAGATTGGTGAGGAAGATGCCGATAACCAGTCCTTCATCTGGCAGGGTGTCTAAAAAGACACAAAAGACAAAAACATCAGGATGACACAAATGAAAGGCTGTCGAGACAGTTGTGCATTTATGACTTTTAAACACTGTTTACATCTTTCCACAGCTGAAGTCTAGAAAATATTCAAGTGAAGTCTGTTTTATTGTTATTATGTAAATGCTAAGAGTGTGTATTAAACACAGGATGCCCTCTATTACAGAAGACAGTTGTTTCCCAATCCTCCTCTGGATCACTATCAGATCTTTATCTTTAATAACATTTATTACCCTGAATTGCTGCATCATAAAACTAAAATGGCACATGCTGGCTAAACATCAGTTAAAGCATGTATTTAGGTGGAGCCGTGTGTCCTCATGCTGTCAAGTTAGTAAAGCAAAAGTTTGTTGAAAATTAAATACGCCATATAAATCGTAAAGCACATAAAAAAAAGCAAACATCCTGATTAAATACTGCAGGATACTGTCATGTTCAAAAACTGTAAAAAGTTAACAGAACAGTCTCTAAAATCATGACATTTTTAGCTGATTTAAATACACCAAGAATGGAATTTTACAGTTTCATATTCTACACACTGGAAAAGGAAAAACTACTATCTGTAAAAGTAAAGATGTTTGATGTGGACATTATTTATAGTTTTGGACAGTTTTTGTTTAAAATCTAAATCAATACATTGGACAGTTTTTCTGTCATTTTGCAAGATATTGTCTGTAATTTAACAAAATAGAAATAATCTATAAATAACAGATTATCCACTGTTTTTCAATCGTTAATATACTTTTTTTAAGTCACCACAATTACCTGTAAAGATTTTTTTATACAGTAAAAATAGTGGAACTTTGCAGTCAAATGCTTGAAGTGAACAAATGACCAATTCTAAATATGAAGGTTTTTAATGTGGACGGTATTTTAGCCCGTTTAGAAAATTAAACATGTACATTACTATTTATTTTGTGATTTTACTAGATATTTGGATTAGTAAAGCAGAGAAAATCTGTAAAACAACAGTCAAAGGTGTTCACATTTCTTAATTCTTCATGTGGATTTTTTCTCTTTCTAATAAAAACAAACATTTGAAAAATATTGTTGCTGATTGAATACAGCACAAAGAGAGCTTTAAGGTCAAGCGCTGCAAATTAATGAATAACAGTTTATAAAATTACAGGTTTTTGTTATTTTAGCCTTTTTTTTTTTTTTTTTTTTTTAAAAACACAAATAACTTTGTTTTCCTGTAATTTTACTAGATTGTTTTTGGGATTTAACAAAACAAGGAAAACTTGTAAAATAACAGTTAAAAACACAATTTACCACTTCTCAGTCCTTCATATACATACTGGTTTCTTTCAAATAATCGCAAGTATGTGTAAAATAAAGACATTTTTGCACACACAGTAAAAAAAAAGTGGAATTCTACAGTCAAACATTGAAAAACAACAAGTTACCATTTTTTAAAAAAATACAGATTTTTCCTATGTGGATGGAGCCTGTTTTTTCACAATTGACATGTCAATTAACATTTTTTTTTTACTGTGACTTGACCAGATATTTAGAATTTAGCAATGAAGGGAAATTATAAATTAACTGTGAAAACTTACACATCACTTTAATCCCTAACATGCATATTTCTTCCTCTCAAATAATGGCAAGAGGCTTTAACATATTGATGCTGATTTAAACACAGTTATGGTGCAATTGTACAGTCAAATGTCATAAAGGAAGAAATTACCTTCGCCTACTGACTTCAGCCTAATTTTCAACAGTTAACATGCATTTTTTTTTCAGCCAATTTACTAGATATTATCTGGAATTCACCTAAAACGAGGACAATCTTGAACATAACAGTTAAAAATATTTACAATTTTCAGTCCTCAATTTTTCACATCATTTTGTTGATTTAAGTAGATTCAAAATAGTGCTTATGGTCAAACATAGCAAGAGGAAAAAAGCATTTAAAAAATATTGATTTTGATGGAGTTTATTTTAGTCTGTTTTTTTTAAAAAAAACCAAAAACAATTAACATGTAAATTAATATCTCTCTTTGATTTCTGCTACTTATATGTAATGTAACAAAACTGAGAAAGCCTGAAAAACAGTCAAAACAATATTTACCACTATTCAGTTCCCAGTATACCTGTGTTTTATTTTTTCCTCTAATAAATATCATGTTAACATGTAAATTCATTTTTTCTACTGCTATTTTCTAATTTTACACAACAAGACTTAAATTAACAGTAAATTGGTCCCCACAAAAATAAAAAAAAATACTGGTAAAAACTGTCCTGATGTTATATTTTTAATACTGTGCAGGCTGATAATAATGAATCTTGCATGGAAGCTAAACTCCATCATTTTCTGCCTTCTTTCTCATCTGCCTGTTTCCAGACCGGACAGGTGACTCAGAGCAACAGAAAACCCTCAGAATTAGCAAACTTTAACAGCTACATCATGAGTCCACTGTGACTTTGGATAAATCGGTACTTTTTCATCCTTAGAGGTGATGAATTTGATCGTCTAACTCAACTTAAGCCTCAAGTTGAAAAGTGCATCTTTTAAAATTCCGCCCCGTCGCCATCTTGTTTCTATACTTTTACATGTTAACTTTACCATTTCAAGCGTACACTTGAAAAACTCATATTTTATCATTAAAAAAAAATCACATTTTTCGAGAAAAAATGTGCTTATTAAATATCAGTGTGTTAAATATCTTAAAAAGGGACTTTAAGGTGTAGTTTTGGGAAACATCTTGGACTTTATCAGCATTGGGACTTACAGTTGGCTCGCGAGTGCAGGATTCTGTAGGCCAGATGGCACTTTTCCAGGTTGGGGTCGTCAAAATTCATCTTTCAGATGTTTTTTGTCAACAATTAACTCCAAGACTTTTGACTTTCAGAGGTGAGCTGGTGGAGGTCACTGCTCAAGCTCGGGTCAAGATGGGTTCTGGACGTTC